TAAGGTACTTTTGGACCTGATTAGGGTTCCATTCTGCCCTCTGCAGCACTTGCGGCCCTGGGCACGTGTGTAGCCTCCCAGGACTTGCCCCCTCCCGCCTGTGAGGTTACATAACCGACCCTCTTCCCTCCTCCCCTGCCCCCATGCGCACAATGACTCTGGCACCCACCCTGCCCCCCACGGCACCTGCAGCCCTGGGTGTGAGCTGGGGCACCCCTCCCATGTGTAACTTCCCTTCCACCTGGGGTCGCACCCTGCCTGCCACCTCCCACCTCCAGAAACCAACACCAAAGCCAGCCAGTCTTTCTGCTCAGCTCACTGGGCTTATCTGAGCAGAAGGAACCCGTGTGCCTGCTGCAGCGCAGAGCGGAGGGGCCAGTGGTTGCAACCAATAAACTTGAGTTGGACCCAGCCTGAAAGTGTGACTCTCTTCTTGGGGTAAATCAGACTAGCCTCCAAGGGGACGAAACCTTGCAATTTATGCAACACCGTGAGTGGGACTCTTCTGGGTCTGGTTCCAGCCATCGGGGTGAGATGTGAGCTCTGAGCTTTTTCTTCCCAAGGCAGGGCAGGTGGATCCTGTTTGCAAAGAGAAGTCCCCTTGCTACTGGCCGCATGGCTGCGTACTGTTCTCCTGGGGGGGCAGGTGTGGGCCAGGAGCCATTAGCCTCCAGGGTCTGTGGCTCTGGGGGACCCCTGGCTCAGGGTCCCCTCCTTTCCAAAATTTTCTAAATTTTGTTCCTCCGGTTTCCCGAGAAACGCTGGGTAAGTCCAGCTAGTGATTCTATAAGTATAGGAAATAAAGAAGGAAAAAAATCGGTCTAATGTGTGAGCTGTTTTTGCAGGAATATCTGCAATTATGAAATTAACCAGACTGTCCACGGATAGGCGCTGTTATAGTGGCAAACCCAGCTGCTCCATTTTCAAAGGGGTGTGCAAGCCCTTGGTTGGAAGGGTGTTTCCAGTCAGGTGTTCCAACATGAAACCAGAAACAAAAATGAGGCCTTGAGAGCCAGGCCTCAGCCCGGGAGTTTGGCCAGAGCCCCTCAGCTCCGCCTGCCTTTCCCCAGCTCTGCCGGCTTTCCCTGGCTGCCAGGCCTCCCTCCTTTCCAGGAGTAGGGTTGCTGGGTGTCCAGTATTGACCCGGACAATCTGGTATTTTCACCTCCTAAAATGTCCAGTATTTTCTTATTTATTTTTCCCTGCCAGGAAGTGAAAATACTGGTCATTAAAAAAAAAAAAAAAAAAAAAAATTGCCACATGGCTGCAGGCCGCTGTGTTTGATGACAGACGGGTGTTTCCTCTTGCTGCAGCTCTGGCTGGAGGAGGGTGGACAGGGAGAGCTAATCTAGATATAAGGAGAAAACGAAAGTAAGTTTCAATGAACTTGCCAGCCGGGGCAGGGTTTCCAGGAATTAGAAGCTGTTTGTCAGAACTGCGATATCAAAAACAGTGATGAGCTTTGGCCTTGCTTGTATGGCCGGAGCCTGGAGTCCCCCTGCATGGATGAGAGAGCCCCATGGGCAGAGGCCCACAAATGGAATTGTCCGGCCCAAGGTTGTGCTGCCTGGGAAGCTCAGGGGGTTCCCTGTGGACCCCTCAGGGCTCGGCAGGGGTCATTTTTGAAAAGCAACCACAGGAACCAAACCTTCCCTTCAGAATGAGCAGGGACTTTTATTGAGCCTTGGAAACCCAGACGGTTGTAGTAAACTGGCAAATGAGCTGGGCAAAATCATTTTGCAGATTTCACTTATAGGACAGTTCAAGAAATTAAATATACGTATGAAGTTAAATGTGTAGGATTTCAACTTCAAGCAGTCTTCACTTTAATGAATAATTACCAGACATAGTGAATTGGAATCAGAAACTCGTGAAGCTTCCATTATTCTTTCTATAACTAATTTGAGTTAACTTAAAAAACAACAAAAGGTCTGGTAACGCTTTAAAGGCTAACAAAACATGTAGATGGGATCATGAGCTTTCGTGGTCATCTGAGGAAGTGAGCTGTGCCCACGAAAGCTCACGATCCCATCTACATGTTTTGTAAGTCTATAAAGTGCTACCAGACTTTTTTTTAAATTTACCCTCTACAGACTAACTCAGCTCCCCTCTGAAATAATTTGAATTATTTTGTGTTTAACAGTAACAATTTTCTTTGCCCTATATTGACAGCTGAATAGGCAACTCAATTTTAATTTGGTTAGCAAATATTTTTTTGAACTCTAAACATAATAGCCATTGTGATGGTGCGTTGGGGGTCCCCCGTCTCCTGCACCCCGAAACCAGCCGGTGGAATAGAGGAAGTTTATTGCCTCTCCAGGTTATAGCACAGCACAGATGTAGTCTGGTCACAGAGCTGGGCTAGGCTGCCTCAGGCCCCCTTGAGATGGGGGGGACTGGGCCCCTAAACTCCAGCCCCTTTCCCTAGGCTGTCTCCTCCATGCTTCCAGCCAGCAACTAACTCACTCTCTTCCAGCCCTGCCCCCCCAGCCAGGGCAGCATTCCACCTTCCTTTGTTCCTCTCCATGGGGGGTGTCTGGCCATGGTTTGCATAGTGACTCATCCTGTTTTGCTGGGTCGTGGTACCCGCGGCAGCCAGTGGGGGTTACCCCAGAGCCAGCAGCATAGAAACCAGCCAGGTACCCCCACTACGTCACAGCCATGACCTCTTTTCTGATGAAAAACAAAAATAATGATTTAATCCTTTTCACCCAGCATACATAAAAAGCAGTGCACTCAGCTCATTTAAGTGGCAGGATTTTTTATGCAAAACTTGATGTCTATAGGTAATTGCAAAGCATGGCGTTATTTTGCACAAACAAATCCACAGGCAAACTCTTCAAAATATGATAGATCGTACTCAGACCGTGCCTCATGCTGGCCTTTGTACCATTTGAATTCCGATTACCCCTCCACTAACCACACCAAGTGAACTGCCTTTCTCTCAATCAAAACCCAGGTATTACTGAAAGGTGGTTTCCCTGCTGTAATCAACCACCTCCCATTTCCCATTAGCCCTTGTGGGCCCATTCCTCCCCAAATTAAAATCCTGTGCACGATATTTTAAAATTCAGCAAGTTTTATTTCTCAATTAATAAATGTGGAGACTCTAGCATAGGACTGGGGAGCTGCACGAAGGTGGCAGATCACCCTGCAGCCCTTTCATCTCCTACCCCTGGGACAAGGATTCAGCGATAAGGCAGCAACCCTGAGACATCTGGGGATCTTGCCCATCCGTTGCAGGCACAAGAGGTGTGGGACAAGGAGGCTCAACCTGGCAGGGTGTCGGCATAACTTCTATCAAAAAAACCTCGGTAGTGTAGACAAGGCTTGAGATTGCCCAGTGGGGCAGGGCCAGGACACAGAGGGACTCACCTCAGCAGCAGGACCTGCCCTTGTGCTCCCACCGCGATGTCCGGCAGCCCATCCCCCGTCAGGTCTGTCCCGCCACTGACGGCCTGGCCAAAGTAGTGCAGCCTGCTGGGGAACTGCGCCCCCCCTATGCGCTGTGGGGCAGAGAGAGCAGTAAGGAGTGCGGGAGGGACAGCTGTTCTGTATAGTGGGCACCAGAGGGAAAGGGACAGGGACAGAGCGACTGTCCTGTATAATAGGTACAAGGGGGCAGCAGAGGGTGAGGGCAAGGGAAGGGGCAGATATGGGTTCATAGACACTAGGTATCTATAGGGCCCCATGATATCCCATTGGGTCTGTGTGCTGACCTCTCTCAGCAGGAGCTGGGCTCACCTGTCTGTACTGGGGACTGAGGCCTCCCTTTTCCCCATGGAAGATGTACAAAGTCGTGAAATTGTCGTTCTCCGTGGGAGCCCCAATGGACACGTCCGTCTGTCTGTCCCCAATTTCAGACATGCTGGCCCCGAAGTGCCCAAACACCTGCCCAGACTGCCCCTGCAGGGTCTTGGTGCAGATCAGCATCGCCCCCTGCAGGCCCAGCCAAAGAGACGCATGGGGAAAGGGTCAACAGTTGCTGTCATCTGAGTTGCCCACTACCTGGTTCCTTTCCCTGCCTTCAGCACAGCGCCCCCTAGGGCTGCTCTGGAGCACTGGAGCCAGCAGTGACTGGGAGGGATGAGCGCCCCCTATTGAGCTTCTAGCCTGCTCCCTAAAGCCCCACTCCTGCTACTGCCATGCTCATTATCACAGCCCCACGGCCCCACAGTCAACCTAGAACCTCAGGTCGCCCATCTTCCCCATTGCACCGTCCCCTTTCTTACCGGCCAGTCAATCAGACAGACATGGACCTGTCCTCCAGTCCGAGGTGTGTGGTACATGGGGGCTCCGATCAGAACCAGGTCTGTGGTCCCATCTCTGTTCAGGTCCACAGCGCACAGTGTGTCCCCGAAATATGAGCCGGTCTGGAGATGCAGATAAGTTACCCCCTCAATTTCATCCCCTCCCCTTTGGAGCCTTCTGGCCTAAGGGGAGAAGGATTCAGCCCCAATGTCCGTTCCATCTTTAGCCTCTTCTCCCTCGGCACATCGCTTCTGCTCTGGCCACTCACAGCTCAATTCCCAAAACCCATCCCAGCTCCACCCCGTCCTGCCTCTTCACGCTTGAACCCCTTGGCCCAAGCCCCCTCCCTGAGTGACATGACCCTGGGGGTTACTAGGAGGCTGGGAGTGGGCAGCAGCAGGGGTGGCAGGAAGTGCAGTGACCCCACCCCACAGCCGGCTCTGCCTCACTGCCCATCTCCCAAGCAGCTCAGCCCAGTGTTGGGAAGCAGAGCACCAGCCCTGGCCCCAGCATGCCTGATGCAGGGCTCGGGGAGCAGGCTGGGCCGGGGGTGCTGTGCTTCCTGCCACCGCGGTGAAGCAGAGCACAACGGGTTGGGAGATGGGAGGTGGGGCAGGGCAGAGCGGGCTGCTGGGTTGCTCCAGCTCCTGCCACCACAGTGAGTGTGTGTGTGGGTGAGGGGTGGGGGGTAGGGGTGGGAAACAGGTCTGAGGCAGCTACTGCAGGGTGCCCCAAAGCACAGCATGAGAAGACTCTGCTTAGATACAGCTACCTCGAGGAGTGGGGGCTGTTTACATAGGTGAGGGGAAAATCTTTGGGTTTGTTCTCTCTCTTAAATAAGCATCAATCATATCCCCAGGAGTCCTGGCTATGTTGCTGAAACTTGGCTTCCCACTGCTCCCGTACAGGTATGTCCCGCCCTCCCACTCCCCCCTCTGGAATCCCAGCCGCTCCCTGGCCCATCTCAGCCTGGGAAACCCATCTCTAGGGCCAAGGTGACCCCAACTCCTGGCTCTGGTACATCCTGATAGTGAAGGTTTTCTGCACTGGTTCTGGATGCCCTGAAGGGCGTTGAAATTGTCCATCTGGAAGACGTGCTGGTCAGCGGACGCAGAGGCGATTTCATGAAGCTCCTGTTGGGCAGCATCACTGGAGAAGGCATCGCTAACCTTCACAGAGTAGAGGACGGTGCAGGGGAGACCAGGGCATCAGTGTCAGTCCCAGCCCAGAGCCCTGGGCACAGCCCCCTCCACCTCGCCCCAAACCCTGTCTCAGCCAGCGCGGGTAAGTGGAGCACAGAAGGAGAGGGAGGAAGATGTGAAAATCCAATTTAATTACTGTGGGATTAGTGGCTGTGGGATTATGTAATTTAACTTGATCTACGTGCCCCTTGTCTGCTGCTGCCCATTTCAATCCCTTTGGCCCAGCATGGGGAAAACCTGATGTCTAAACTAGAAAGCGCCACTCAACCTGTACAACAGGAGCTTCCACTCTTCTGTCACACATTGACCCAGTGACAACCCAGCATCTGTTTTTCTCCCTAACCCAATGGGATCCCACCTCCCCATCGCATGCCCCTAGACCACCCCCACTCTTTGCCCAGGTGTGGCTCACCCCAATGGCATAGTGGATGATCCCAGCTCTCTCCGCCGCGGGAATGGCATCTGAATAAGAAAAAGGGTCTTGGAATTTCTGCCCATCTGTGATCACAATGAGAACCTCGGTGGCCTCATCCTGAGCACCACTCCTAGAGGAGTAACGGTAGTTCGGAATAGGCACCCTAGTCCGAACTACCTAGTTCGAGCCCCGTGTAGCCGCGCTACACGGGGTTCGAAGCAGCGGGGATTTAAAAATGGCGGCTCCCCGCTTATGCTAATGAAGCCCGGGAAATTCAAATCCCGGGCTTCATTAGCAAGTGCGGTATGCATACATTACCCCGCTAGTTCGAACTAGCGGGGTAGTGTAGACATACCCTGGGTGAATGAGATCAAGGGCAAACGTCCCTCTAGTGCATGGGTTCCCAAACTGGGGGGCATGCCCCCAGGGAGGTGTGAAGAAATTCCGGGGGGGGCACGAGGCAACCCAGCCCCCTGTCCCCAATCAAGTTTTGCTGCTATTTTTTGAGGAGGGGGCAATGAGGGTTTTTCAAAAATCAAAAAGGGGGCATAATGCCAAAAAGTTTGGGAGCCGCTTCTCTAGTGACTGTAACAATAGTCCTGGGGGTGCCGTTGTTCTTCCTTTCTTGTGTTCAAATGAAACAAGAAGCAGGGGGAGAGAGAACTCCCAGTGTCCCCTCCTAGGCCCAGCGTGCTGTCTAATAACCCCTAAGAATTGGAGGAGCCAGGGAATGCTGTAGAAACCTAGACCAGAGCCATGGGCCCAGCCAGGTGTATAGCCCCACACGCACCCTGCCAGCCACCCCGGTCAGACCAATGGCCCCTCTATCATCCCTGCCCTGCTATTGAGGGGCCCTGACTGCAGAACAGGACACACACTGGAGTGAAAAATATACCCAGCCTGCCCATAGCTGGGGACAGACCCCAGGAGTCCTGGCTCCCCGCTCCTACTGACGTCCTGAATCAAACCAATCGGCCCCTCTAGGCTGGTATCTCAACCCCTAGCAGACACAGGGGCCCAAGACCATCTCCCCTCCACCGCCTATTGCTCGTGTACCCACCCATAACCCCAGGGTGTGAGTACCCCCATCCACTTTGGGGTCAACCCTCACCCGGCTGGGTGTTCGGGATATGCTGCAACTTCCAGAGGGTCTGGTGCAGAAGGAAGCAGGCATCATTAACTGCCTCCCCCATCTCCTGCCAGCTGGATTAATGCAGGCAGCAGGGCCAACAGCCACTGTGGGCCCCATGGCAAAGAGTGTCCCTGTCAGGGAGTGAGCGCAAAGTGCCCAGCTCATCTGCCCCCTGCCCTCTGCAGCCAGAGGGATGAATGCAGCAAACTGGGCACTTCTCCTTGCTCCCTGAGAGTGACAAAGGGGAACAGCCAGCAGTGTCCCTGTCTGAACTGGGGGGAGGGGGGAGCTGTAGCCCCCTTCACCCTCCTAAAAGAGGCCCGTGGAGGTGGGAGGCTCAAGACAGTTTCTCCTGCCTGGCTGACAGCTGCTTAGTGTGACAGCTGGTGGCAGAACCCTAGCGCCAGGCTGGGAGCCCGCACTGCCTCCTGCAACCGAGAGCCCCAGCCAGCTTGTGCCTTCTGACCGCAGCAGCGCTCAGGGGTGCACCCGCTTATTTTCACCTCTGGCTTCAGTCGCTTTCAACATCTGCTGAGTCGTGCCAGTTCTGAGGGCTGCCCTCGCTGAGGTCACTGCTCCCGTACAGGTATGTCCCGCCCTCCCACTCCCCCCTCTGGAATCCCAGCCGCTCCCTGGCCCATCTCAGCCTGGGAAACCCATCTCTAGGGCCAAGGTGACCCCAACTCCTGGCTCTGGTACATCCTGATAGTGAAGGTTTTCTGCACTGGTTCTGGATGCCCTGAAGGGCGTTGAAATTGTCCATCTGGAAGACGTGCTGGTCAGCGGACGCAGAGGCGATTTCATGAAGCTCCTGTTGGGCAGCATCACTGGAGAAGGCATCGCTAACCTTCACAGAGTAGAGGACGGTGCAGGGGAGACCAGGGCATCAGTGTCAGTCCCAGCCCAGAGCCCTGGGCACAGCCCCCTCCACCTCGCCCCAAACCCTGTCTCAGCCAGCGCGGGTAAGTGGAGCACAGAAGGAGAGGGAGGAAGATGTGAAAATCCAATTTAATTACTGTGGGATTAGTGGCTGTGGGATTATGTAATTTAACTTGATCTACGTGCCCCTTGTCTGCTGCTGCCCATTTCAATCCCTTTGGCCCAGCATGGGGAAAACCTGATGTCTAAACTAGAAAGCGCCACTCAACCTGTACAACAGGAGCTTCCACTCTTCTGTCACACATTGACCCAGTGACAACCCAGCATCTGTTTTTCTCCCTAACCCAATGGGATCCCACCTCCCCATCGCATGCCCCTAGACCACCCCCACTCTTTGCCCAGGTGTAAATGGGATAACATTGATAAATATGAGCTACATGAAACTAACCAAGAGAGAAAACTCTAAACCTAACCTGAATTCTTAATCTACTCTGCCATCTCTGACAGCATGTGGACCTTTATGCCCACTACTAATGAAAATCATTACCACCACCTTCAAAGAAAAACAACTGTCAACCTCACTGCAATAGTCTTCTCCTTAACATATGCACAATGTGCCTGAGGTGACCAGAATTCCTCATTGAATCTACTCCACAGGTTGGATCATTAGCTTCCCAGCCCAACCTGGGTACTGATGGGAAGTCCAACATGAATTCTGGTACTCCTCCCGTCCCCACGGCCCAGAACTATCACTTCATCGCCAAACTTCCATTCTTAGGCAACATTTTTGAAAGCGCTCCACACTCCGACAAGTTGTGACATCTGCCAACAGCTAGGTTGCTTCACAGATCATGCTCCGGAGCACGGCACAGCATGGGCATAGTGTTAGTAGCACTAAATGACAGCTTCTTTATGGCTATAAATAGAGGCTAAATGTTCATATTCATTCTTCTAGACCTTTCTGCAGTATTCCAACTTGACAGTTCACAAAGTCTTCAGCCTATATGATACAATGGAAGTGGCGTTAACATGGGTCCAAGTATTCCTTTCTAGAAGAACCCAGAGAGTGGGGATGAGTAGCTGCTCCTTTCCTATGCATAGACTTTCATCTATAGGAAAAACAGTTTTCTAACTTTAATATGACACAACTTACCACCGTGGCACCTCATGCTGGTCACTCAGGAATTAGCACATTTCAGTCCCGGAACTCCCCCTTTCAGCCGGTGTCTCACCTGCTCTTACTTGTTATTTTTCACCACCTAGTGTTAGGACCCATGTGCCTCCCAGACTGTGGCATCCTCCTCTGAGTACTGCCCAACCACAGTGTTCCCACACTCTGGGGTTTTCTCCTAAAGGGAACCCCCAGCTCCCTATTCCCACCTCGCTTCAGTGACTTACTGCCAGTCTTCATCCAGCCACTGCCACAGATGCAAAGTGCAACTCATCTTTGGCAAGGGGGTATGGACCTGATGCCCTCTGCTGTCCTGGCTACATCCCTTTACCCTCAGGTCTTGCTTCAAGCCATGCAGCCTTGGAGCTTGCCCGGCCAGAGCTTCCTCA